ATATATATATATATATATATATATATATATATATATATATATATATACATACATATACATTTTTTTTTCTTATTTTCTTTCATCCACACATACTTTTGAATGTGAACCCAGCTACATCGCTCAAATAGGCTGGCCTTTTGCAACAGTTGGTCAGGTGAGAGATAAGTTAACAACTTTTAGCAGAACTGGAAAGAGCGTATTTTAAATAGTTAGAATACCAGTTCAGACCCATGGTTTTGTATGGGAGTGAGAAAGCTTTGCCCTCCACAAATCTATTAATCACTACTCAAGCTGCTGGCATATATCTACTAGAGATAGAAAGAGGGTTCAAATATATGGAGCAAGAGAAAATTCTAGGCTCTTAAACCGAAAGGCAAAGATTTTGTTGCAAAACTTGCAAACTTACAAGGATTTATATGGAAAACCACTGCACTGGAGCGTGACTAGGAGCAAAGCATTTTCTTCCATAAAAAATTATATCTCAAAGAATATAAACCTGAGAGTTTGCTTGAAAGCTTATTTTGAAATGTTCTATTCTTTCCTGGTAACATTATGCATTACCAATTATTAGAGCAGCGTGTTCTTGAAAAGTAAGTCACGTGACCAACTGTTGCTAATGGCCTATTTGGTTGTTAAAATCCTAGATAAAACATCTTAACTTTGAATGCTAATCATAAATTGTTTGGCCAATTCCTTGACGTTTCGAGCTTTGTTTCTTACAATTATTATTGTTACACGATCATTATCGCGTTGTAGATTGTAAGCAGTTCTGCCAAGTAGATCCACTGATTTAACAAATAGAGTCCATCTTGCCGTGCGTCTGTTCAGTAGTAGATCACAGAAGACGTCAAAATGTGGTAAGAACAAAACAGTGGCACTAGAGGCGATAGCCAAATGTCACTGATGTTCTTACCACATTTTGACGTCCTGAACTGACGCACGGCAACATGGAATCTATTTGTCTTATATAATAAAGAAACAAACTACACAAAAAGCTTTTTTTTAAATTTCCAAATCTTTCAAAATAACTCGAAAGCCGGGCCTTTGCCCACTTTGAAAAACACGAAAATAGCAATTTGACGTCATCTATTGTCTATACAAAATGAAGCGAAGTGATGGTTCGAACTGATGATTCTATGCTATACGTAGCATAGAATTGTCATTGGTTCAGGGAATTCACGCCACTGTTACACTTGAATCGCGCGTCGCTAGCCTGGAAAACAAAACTTACAACGAAAACAGAATTGAACTGCGAAATTTACAGATCTTAAACAAAATGCTGGAAAGTCAAGTCCGTTTTTGTCATCACAGCACGGCTATGAGCCGAAAAAACCTGGACGTTACCTTGAATATTGCGAGAGTTTATAAAACCGCTCGGAAAACTTGTGACCAACATCTACACTGGCATTGGAAGCCATTCGATTCGAGCGTTGATGAAAGGAGCGTTAATGAAGGTGGAAATTTTTGTCCTCTGAGGACACAATGTTGTTTCTTTCCTAACATCAATCTGATTGAACAATTATTTTGATACTGACAAAAGTTGCAATTTTTAATTGCATTAATCTCATGAACATTTTACTTATTGCGTTTGGTAAATTGTCTTCTTTCCTTGAAATAATTTCAAGACCAATTTTGTGTTTGGTTTAGTCCCACTCGAATGCTGACTGAGACCGCTCGAGTACTCTTTCCGAGTCGTTTTCTATAAAAGAAACACGTTTTTCTTTCTTATTTCTACTTCTTGTACCTGCTCAAAGCCTCGACAAGACTTTTTTCCACCTTATCCTTCGCCCAGTCACGTAAAATATTATCTAAATTCTTAAAATTTTCCGCCATTTTAAAAAAACAGAGGGAAAATGTTTGGTTGTATGGACGTCATCTTTGCGTCTGTCCTCTATTAGATCATAGACGAGAACCAATCACAACCTGAGAATAATTTGACTTATTATATAAAGTAATTTGGAATAATATTGGATTTCTACTGAAACGTAGACATTTAAAAGTGATGAATTATGGACAAATATTTTCAGAATCCCTTTAAAACATAACTCACCTTGAAACTGATCACTATATCTACGAGTGACGTCAATGGTTTGTTGTTTAGGTATCATAAGAGCAAAGGATACTGTTGGAAAAGAGATGACGACGATGATGATGATGAAGATGATGAGGATGATGATGAGAAGGAGGAGGAGGAGGATGATCATGGTCATTGTAATGATCCTGCAAGTGAGCCCAGCAGTATACTCGACACAGCAAAAAAACATTCCTGGAACAAAGGGTGGTATTGCTTTTTGGTTGATAAGAATAAAGTGAAACTGGAGGGGAAAAAGTGTCAGAATGCTAAACATCCATATATTTGCGAGAAAGGTAGGTGAAAAGGAGGCACCCAATTTCGCATTTAATATTCAAGATGGCGTCTTTGTCATCCTGAGACAAATTGAAGATGGCGGCTCTGCCACCCTAGGACGAATCAAATAGTCAAGATGGCGACTTTCTCACCCTAGGACGAATTGAATAGCTAAGATGGCGGTTTTGTCACCCTGAGACGAATTCGAAATGGTGGCCTTGTCACCCTGGGACGAATTGAACAATAAACATGGCGGTTAGGTCGATCGAAGAGTGACACAAGTAAATTTCCACAAACTTTGTTTTTAACATAATATCACTTGCTTATAGGTCACATTATAGTTTTATCTTCTTCTCTCATTTCTTCAGACCATAGCGAACTTTGTCACCCTGGGACGAATTGAATATTCAAAGATTGCAGCGTTATCACGTCAAAGTCACGATGGAAGAGGGCAGGCGCATATTAGGAGGGAGAGAGAATGCGAAACACAACGTTATAAAGCGGCGTAGAGATTTGTAAGCAGGTGGATAAAAGGAAAAAATCCGGAAACGAACAGACAAACCAGGTTTGGTTTAAAAACAAGTAACGCGACAGGGTTGTTGCGCCATAAGATAGAACTATATAATTTTGATGTCATAAGTAGAAACGAACAAGTTTTTCAGGTTTGGTTTTTAAAACGGCCAATGAACCACTGAACAGCCAAGATGGCAGCCTGGTAACGTCACACTGAGTTGAGATGGCGAACATGCAGCCTGGCGAGTTTAGAAGCAGGAGAGTGGGTTCAAAATCACAGGAAAAATTCACACGATAAACAGGGGAACAGTTCGTAGGCAAAATAAAAACGGTTTTCAGGACATTCACAACTGCTGAATTTCTTGCCTATACTTTGTAGCGGAGCTCCGGTGACCCGAAGGCCTATAGGAACAGAACCACAATCATGCATAGAAACAGAAAACCATGCAACTCTTTGTTCATGGTCAGCATGGCTAGCGGGAGGTCCGCTACAAAGAATAGTCAAGAAATTCAGCGGCCCAAGAGTTGGCACCAAACCTACACGTATTGTTAGGTATGTAAACGTTTCATGCCTTAATTTACTATTTACTGTTTTAGGAAAGAAATAAACCGTCTTTATTTTGCCTACGAAATGTTCCCCCGTGTATCGTGTGCATTTTTCCTGTGATTTAGACCTCGCTCTTTTGCTTCTTAACTATCTTGACTATTCAGTGCGTCATTGGCCGTTTTAAAACCAAACCTGAAAAACTTGTTCGTTTCTACTTATGACATCAAAATTATACAGTTCTATCTTATGGCGCTACAACCCTGTCGCGTTACATTTTTTTTTAAACCAAACTTGCAAAGTTTATTTTGAATGTCGTTAATAACCGAATCTAAGAAGTTCTATCTTATGGCGCAATAACCCTGTCGCGTTACATGTTTTTAAACCAAACCTGGTTTGTCTGTTCGTTTCCGGATTTTTTCTTTTTATCCACCTGCTTACAAATCTCTACGCCGCTTTATAACGTTGTGTTTCGCATTCCCACCCCCTCCTAATATGCGCCTGCCTTCTTCCATCGTGACTTTGACGTGACAAAGGGTGACTTTGAGGGTGACAAAGTCGCTATGGTCTGAAGAAATAAGAGAACATAAAACCATAATGTGATCTATAAGCAAGTGATATTATGTTAAAAATAAAGTTTGTGGAAATTTACTTGTGTCACTCTTCGATCAACCAAGCCACCATCTTGACTATTCAACTCGTCCCAGGGTGACAAAGCCGCCATTCTGAATTCGTCTTCAGGTGACAAAGCCAGAAGCGACCAGGGACAGCGCAACACCTAAACCGAAAATGGTCTGGGCACGAAATAAAAGACGCCTTCTTACTTACGTTTTTGTTGTCTGAAAGACCATAGTTTTTGTGAAACAAGTTGGAGGTTGGTTTTAGAACGGATTGTTTGCGGTTAGTTGCACTCAGGTTTGTTGGCGGATAGCTTTCATTTTGTGGTTTGCGCGTGACTGTAATAGATATGCTTGCGGTATGTATTGTTTAACAATTTAGAATTTTGGCAGCCTGCATTCAGACAGTGTAGAGGTTAAAGGCCGTCATCTTGAATATTCAATCCATCTCAGGGTGAGAATTAAAGTCGCCATCTTGAATATTAAGTGCGTCCTAGGGTAACGGGCCTTACTATTCGCAAAGTGTAACTAAAATCGACATTATTGAAAAACAAAAAACAGTAGGTCAGAGGTAAATCGCAATCTTCATTAGGTTTTATATACATATATTATTCATTCACAATTGAGGAGGCAGCGTGGCCTCCTGGAGGTAGAGTGGCCTAGTGGGGTCCGGAGGTCCCGAGTTCAAATCCTCCCTGCCACTAGATGGGGTTGTGTTTGGTGGTCCCAGATTCAACTCCTTAACGCTTTGTAAATATCCAGCTGGTCAGCCTCTCACCAGTTGGGATTTTTAACAAGTTTCTGTTCAATTTACAATTTCAGTGTCCCCAATTATTCGTTTTAATACTCGACACAATAATAAGACCCAGTTCAGACGTCGTGCTTCCGCTGTGTTCACCAAAATTCAGGAATTAAGTTCGTCAAAAGCACCGCAGAAGCACGGCGTCTGAATCAAACTTTTGAATTAAGTTTCAAACAATTAAGTTTGACATGCTCAGTTGTGCTACACGACTCAGGCATGGCAGTAATTCAAACGTCAAGCTACTGCCGCGCAAACAAAATTTATAAGTTATATTAATGTATTTTGGTTGGATTGAGCTCCCGAGGGGAGTTATGAGGCTTTACGTGGAGAATTGTTACGTGGCTTAAACGTAAATCCTGAATTTGGTACGACTCTAGCACGAGGTCTAAATCAGAGTCTTGTTTCTGCCGTGCTACAGTCGAACCTGGGCCTTAAGGAAATTCACTTATGAGCATCTCACCAAACCGAATGAATTGAAAAAACAAAACCAGGAATTCCCTGTAAACAATAAGCAAATCATCACGTGCAAGGGTCAGATAGCAAATCTTGTTCACTTTTAATAAAATTCGCAACGAAAAGTTGGCCGAATGAAAGAAGATTGATTATCATTCAATACAAATATATAGCCATTCTCGCAACTCGTGAAAGTCGTAAGCCTATCCCGTGTGGGTACTCTACAAAGTTTTATACGGGGAGACTCCGCCATGAACACCTGAGAAATACAAAACTGCGAAAGGCACCATTTGTTATGTAACCATGGCAACGGTGATCTTTTCACCTGTGAAGATACCATGTTACTTTCACGCGTGAATATTCATGTTTTCGCGCGAAAGCTCGCCTTGTTTCACTGGTTTGTACATAATAAGGCTTTATCTTTTTCTAGCCGTGAGGTTATCGGCAAAAAGTCCGAAGACCGACCCAAAACCAGTTGTTTACAATTGCAGTTTACAACAACTTCGACAAAGCAATTCAAGTGTTATTGTTTAGAGGTTAGCAAAATTAAAGAAATGAAATTTATAAAAGGCCTTATCAGCAATTCGGCAATTGGCTTCAGTGTGCAAGATGATTTTCCGGAAGCATGCTAAAATCTGCTGAGCCAACATTATTAAGATAATAATGACACCTTTGCCACACTTTCACTCACCTCGCCATATAGATATATCGACATGTGCTTGTGCCTCACGTTCACCTTATTTCACCTTTCTGAGTGCCTGTAAAAGCGTAGTTAGCACGGCGGCTTTCCGTTTTATCATTCGATCACCAAATTTGTTTTCTTATTTAGAACACGGGGAAGCTACCATTTTTCACCAGCGATCACTGTTACAATTACGCATGAACAGAGTACTATTTGCAGCAAAACACATTTAGCCGGTACTACGCATGAGCAGACCATTATTTGTGGGCAGTTATTTCCATGTCATGTGGTTGACTCTCGGCCAATGAAAAGGAAGAAACAAATGCATCGAATAATAATATCCACCGATAACCACCTCCTCTGCGGGGAATAATTGTTTAAAATAATTCTTGTTAAACTTGTTCACGCCGAAGAGTAATTTGAATATCTTTTTTGCCGACGGCTTTGAAGTCATTTTTTTTCGTCCGTAGCTTTATATGAAGGGGAATCAAGGTCAACATTCGGTTCCTAAACAGCGCGGGCACATGCAAGGGCCAGCAAAATTTAGCTCTCTCAGGCACAGTTTAACACAGACAGGTTCAGATAGGTTGTTTCAATGAGATAAAACAGGTATCTGTTCATTAAAGAAAGAAAAAAAGGAAACTACAACTGGTAGCTTAAAAAGAGGTTGAATTAAAGGATCAAAGACAAAAGCTTTTCCGTTAATCTCGATCAGGGAAGTGTCTGTAAAAGTCTCATAATCATCTTGCTGCCTTAGTACCTGAGGTGGGATGGGCTTGATGAGTCATCAATATAATTGAATGTAACAGTGTGGCTATTGAAACAAAACACAAATGCACTGGCGCCAGAGCTAGGTTGTTTGACTGGCCCAATATTTAGCTGAAATGTTTTTTTTTCAGTGACGAATAAATACAGTTTGGATGACAGCTACTTCGCACATCCCTTTGATCTTTCCGTCCCTATACTGCTTTGCTTTCTTTCTTTGTCTTTTTGCTTTTACTCGAAAAGTTCCTTTTTTTTCCTTTTTGTGCTCTTCCCAAGGTACTAAACTCTTCAAAGTGATAAAGGTTTCGAAATTTGAGAAACTATATTAACATAATAAAGAAGCCCGTGACATTCGTTAAATACCTTATGACAATTCGACAAAGACGATTTATTATTCCTCTATAAAACTGCAACAGCGTCAAAATTCTACTGGACTTATGGCACTGAAGCAAGAAACTCAGCTACAAGTGATAAGGGTTTCAAAATTCGGGAAGCTGTATTAACATAAAAGAGAAGCATATGACATCCATTTAACACCTAATGATCATTCAACAAAGACGAAAAACCATTTCTGAAAAATTTGCAACAGTGTCAAGATTCTACAGCACACCCCCTGTAAAGTTTGACTATAGACGGATGCCGCAACCTAATTTTAAACAAAAAAAAACATATCGAAAACTTCTGCTGATAATTTGTGTCGTGTAATTTAATGAAGGCAAAATTGCCATGCAGGTGCATGCCTTTATTTAATTTGTATCACGTTCCGTGTGATCATGCAGGCGCCCCAAGTCATCATGGCTTTATCTTTCCGTTTTGATTGTGGTCAAAGTGGAATGAAAACCAGAATCAAACTTGAATTCATAATACACTTACAATGCTTTAAGCAGGAAGTTTCCTTCGTCTTAGAACCTAAATTAACTCCCCATCATGTAAACTCATTTTCTGTTGGAAAAAATTGAGAAAAAACAATCACTTCAATTTTCAACATGTGGGCGTCATATCACTAAATATTTCCCGCCTATGTGAGTATCGATTACGTTTTCCCTCGCACGGGAAAAGTATAAAGAACAAGGTTGACAGACATAAACGAAAGAAATATTTAGTTTTGTAAGCCGACAATCTTGGACTGGGTGTGGGAGTGTACTCAGCTGAAAAGCCTCCTATTTCACCCCTCCAATAGCTTGACTTAATAAACAAAGAGCTGTCAACATTTCACAGTTAAACAATGTCACTTACATTATTTTAGTTGCAATATATTTGCATGTCTCGGAGAAAACATTTACGCCTTAACATGGGAAAGACCGGCAAGGATACAAAGAACAAATGTAGTGGCTCTGTACGAAAAAACAAACCATACAAATAGGATTTTGAAAGCCAACGACTACAATTTTGTTCTTCTTAGTGTACGTAGATTACATCAGAACGTTTGTTCAATATAATCCAAACATGAACTTACCTGCGCGTAGCCAGTTGGTTTACTTTCATTCACTGCTCCAAATTACCATTTTCCTAGGAGGTGAGTAGCCAGTCCTATCCTGTGTGTTTTACTGTGTCTCTGCCATAGTAAGTTACGAACCACACTCCTTGTAATCCTGTTAGAATTTATTACCTCGCTCAGTTGCGCCATGCACCAAAATAAAAGCAAACCAGATTCTTGATTAGTGTCCTTTCGGCGGTGATAAATCATTGTCTAAACCACGGTTTCTTTCCTTCAAATTTGCGTAGGTTAATCTTAAAATATTACAAAGAGAAAGTTGAAAAAAAAAGTAACCAGCATACAGTTCTTTTTTTGTGACACAACATAGGTTTTAGAGTATGGTTTTTGACCATTTCTTGGGCCATACAGTGTATATGATTTTATGAATGATGTTCATTTTCACCAGAGCATTTACCGAAGTCATGCCGCTGGCGCTTATAATAAGTCTTATTGATTTTCAGTGAGGGAATCATAAAATTACTTCAAGCTCTGGATCCAAACAAATTGTATTTGGGATATCTGATTTAATATGTAACATTGTAACAATAGCGGGCGGATACAATTCTCAATGAAAGCTCGCTGAATTTGCAAGTTTTGAATTTTGTTTACTACCAGAATATTAACTTCAAATGGAACAATGATCTTATTTGTAGAAATTTGCAGAGATTCAGGCGGATAGTGTAATTAAATATTCTAAATACTCGCGAAAAGAGCGAAAGTCAAAATAATGTTTTTAAAATTAATGCGGGCGCATTTGGCTTGTAAATGAGCAGTGAAATTTCTGGCAAACAGGAACAATGAACTCTGATATTTGCTGTGATATTTGTAAGAGTTCATTCAAAGGGGAAACCTGCGGTAGCGCTAGTTAAATTTCCATGTTAGTACAACTGGTGCGCTTCAAGCGGATCATCTTGAGCAATGAAGAGGTAACTGTTACCTTGGGGCAATGAACGTAAACAAGAAAAAAGCCAAGTTTAATTAAAAATTTGTTTCGCGTTTGAAAAAAATCCTCTGCTTCGCGAGTCTTGGCAGAAAAGCTGGTTTACACAACGGCTATATTTTAAGGCTATAATCATAGGGTTTCCTTAAAGTGTAGATCTCATGGAAGAAACCAAGTTTTAAATACTTGTTTATGCTCCAACATTATGAAGTAAATTTCTACGATATGTTAATGAACCTTTCAATTAAGAAATTGTTGAAATATTCACCGTTTTTATGAAAAACTGTTGGGACTGGACTGCCTTCATTAGGCTTCCGTTTCCGTTGTTCGAATGATCGATCGAGTAATTTGGAATCAGTACTTACAAAGGTTTTCTCAATGTTATTTATTCGATAGAGCTGCATCAATGTGCCTCTGTCACTTACCACCTCAGCAATGATGACTGTAAAGGAAGTGACTTAGACAACAAATGCAAAGGGATGGGAGAACAATTAGCAAGGATCACAGACTTGGCAAGTCTTGACAATGCGAAGCAAGCCATCACCAATCATGGAATAAAACACTGGACAGGGTTAAGGTGAGATTCAACGATTTCCGAACATTCTTTCAAAAACTTGTGAAGCTAGCGTATTTAACAATGAAATCCCTTTCAGAGCCTTTCGGACTAATAATAGGCCTTAAGTTTGTATTAACTCGTGAACAAACCACACTGTTCAGGATGCTTAAGAATTTTTCCATAATTTCGCGCAATTTTCCAATGTTTGCAAATGTTTCTTTTATTCCTATACTTGAATGGAAAAAAGTACAATCGTCACTATTGTAACTGACTATTTTGAATTGTAAATTAGGTACTTTGATATTGTGTCATTGTATCATTACTCGTTTTCCGGCGGGATCATTTGCGGTCCACATCGGGGATCATTTGCGGTTCGGGATCATTTGCGGTGCTGTACAAAAACCCCACAGGAGACCAATCTGACTGTGGCTCGAGATTTATTTGATTCCTGAAAGATACTACTTAACACGGAATAGACTCGATTACCAGCCTCTGTTCAGGAAAGGAGCCCACACTGGTACACCGGATTCGAGGGACCAGCAGAAATAGAGTCTAAAAACGGAAATAAGAGCATTTATTTTGAATACTATTTATTCAGGTGCACCCAAAAAAGATACCTTAACAGCTGAAAATAGTGACGTTTCTTCCTGAACACCCCAAGTGAGACCAAAAACGTTGATTTAAACCCCAAAGCGAGATGACCTTTTTCATATGAGAGTCATCCCGGGCTTCGAACATTCTGTTGACATAAGGCTTTCACAGTCACTTGCACAGTGTCAAGTTGGTTATGTTCAAGAGGTAGAAGGTGAAACAATTTTTAGATTGTGAGAAAGAGACTTATGATTCTTTCTTGGCGAGTCGATTGTGAGGGAAAGTCTTCATGGGTTTTTAGTGGTATTATTATTATTTACAAACCTGCTTGATACTAATGGCTAGCATATTGTGAGTTCGAAAACGATCAAGATCGATTGATAAAAGCTCCAGACAATTTTTGACACACAAGAAATGGAAAGACAAACGCTGCCTTTCGGTAAGTAGTTTTTTTTACATAAACGTATGTGTCAAAAATAAAATGATTTAAAAGAAAAGAAAAAAGAACTTTTTGCTGCCTATTAGACTCAAAGAGACTCCCACGCAAAAGGCAAATGAGACTCCCACGCAAAAGGCAGATGATTATCACACTGCGCCACTTGTAAAAAATGTTAATAACATACGTATGTACTGAAACGATCGGAAGCTCAAGTGAGTTCCGCGTCAAAGTCAATATAGCCATGATTAATATTTGAAGACGAGAAACGGACAGGAGAATTGAAGAGAGTACAAACTATACGTTTCGCTTATAATTTTTCGGCACTGTAAATAAATTTGGAGATGGCGGAATGATAAGAACGAATAGCTGATGAAAAAAAGAAAACGACATTACACGGGGCTGGAAATCCTGCATCCACTGAGATGCCTGGTAAGAAAAATAAGGAAAATGAAAAGAAAATCATCAGATCATCATCACCCGAACCAAGTACTAACCCCACTGAACAGGGCTTAACTTTGCTGATCTGACGAGACGCGCGGTGCTATCCTTGCGGTGTAGTGATTCCACGCGAAACACAATAGTTTATTTCTGACCCCAGAACCTTGTAAATGCCTAACTGAAGTTCAGCTTTAGATCTCGTCAAAGATACCTAAATTATACTCAACTTTATGTCGATGGAGCGGTCAAACTTACCACACAGGACAATGGATGGGGTAAGCCAAAGAGGAAGCCGTCAGTGGGCTGTGACTTCAATGTTGGCCTCTCTAACTCGATATCAGTAAATGATATATGACCTATGGATTAAAAACTCAGTTCAGTGGCATCACAGTTTCCACTTTTTACAGAAAATCCATTTTCCAAATTGAGTGGTTCATAGCCACTTTGATTTATAAACTCGCGACTCTGAAGCTAAGAAAAAACTACGTCAAGTCAAGTCAAGTAATAAAATTAGTTCGTATTACCTTGAAAGACTTTGAAAGGTTTAGCGTGAACACAAACAAAGTAACAAAAGAATTTGCAGAAAGCAATAATATGCAGATTTAGTCAAGCCTAAAAGCGGATCTCCTGGGCCGCTTTGTTCAAAACCCGATTAAGCTAACTCAGGATAAGCGAGAATTATGATTTGAGTTTTGTAACTTTGCGGTGAGGTTTTCTGTTTATATTTTTGGCCTTCTGTTTTGATTTTTAATAATCTCAAACTACAGCAGGAGCCCTGACCCTAAAGCAGTGAAAAACACTTGTATAAAAGATGAATTTATACTTCGGTTAACTTTTAATTAACCCAATTTCCAAACAACCCGGGCCTGATTAGCCCGCGATCCAATCGAAAAATACGTGGTCAGCAGTCAACTTTAAAAACACATGACCTCAATGAGCTATAAACCTGAGCTCGCGATAAACTTGAGCCCACGATATGGTCACGCGATACTGGTCAGCAGATACCTTGTTTGGCAGGTGTCGATTGACCATAACATGGATGTCAAATATCAAAGACGTAGGCAAGGTATTAGCTGGAGTATCGCCGCCATGCTGCGCGACGTCGACGTCGTCGTCGTCGTTGCCGTCGATGGGCGCACGCGCCCGCGATCCATGCCGCTAGCCATACTGAGAAACGTTTGAATGTTTAAATGTTTAGGCTGGCCTTGTCCAGCCACATTTATTCTTTTGCTTTTCGAGACACCAATCTTGACACTTTNAGCCCCAAGAAGGGCGAAACAGCTGTCCACTGTTGCGATCCTACTTTATCGGTTCTTGTCATGTTGGTGTGTCGAAACGTTTTTCACGTAGTATCAGCCTTGCAGTTTATTGCTTGTAGCTATACTGACCATGAAAACAGAGTTGCATGGGTTTCTATTTCTATGCATGTATGCGAATGTGGTTCTGTTCCCAGAGTTATGGTGCTCCGCTTGACGGCCCTTGAGGCCGCCGGAGTTCCGCTATGATTGGTTAAGCAAACACGTCAAGCGAACATCCTGACGGCTAGTAGTTATTCTCTTTGGGGCTACTAGCTTTTCAAGATTCTAATGGGGTAGTCGAACAGGGCTTTTTTTTTAATAAAAATTTTTCTTTAGCGAGGAAACGCACTAAGCCTGTTTTGATTCTACGAATTTTTAACTAATAAAAACAACTTTTCAAGGTCAAATGCAAATCGCTCTATAGCAGGCCTACCCATCATGTCATGTTTGAAATACCTCACTATTCAGGACTAGCTCTTGCGGGACATACTCGATGCGTGTGTACATTCAAAGGCGAATGATGTCATCTGTAATGGGGTATTTATTTGCCGAATTCACGATTAAAGACGGAAAACAGTCCTTGAGGGGAAACTCCTCTTCAGATGGAAAAGTCGTAGGGTATGAATCCGGTAAAGGAAGAGTTTCCTGTCTCAAAATTATACGTCTAATTTTTCTTCCAAATCGAAGGAAAATAGGACGAAAACTCATCTTAGAAGGAAAGCTCTTAAATTCATACTGGACGCGAAACTAACGACGAGTTTCAGTCGCGATTTTCAGATGTGCGGTATTACACGGTATACTGAACTCTGTCTGTGACTACAGTTTCCTGTCTTTAAACATGAATTTGGTTATTATTTGCCACAAGAAAACATTGCATAAAAATTTTCTCCCGTGTGCAGCAAGGTTTTTCTTCCAGACAGTGAGCACCTCTACCGAGAAGTAATAAGCAATAATTAATATAGCTGGATTTCTACTGACAATAAAAAGTGATGAATAATGGACAAAATGTTCTCAAACCTTACACCCCAAAATTGATCACTGTGTCTAGCAATGATGTTTGAATGGTTTGTTGTTTAGGTATCATAAAAACAAAGGATATTGTTGGAAAAAAGATGATGAATGTGGTGTAAGTCAGCCCAGCAGTCAGATCCTTGACACACAAAATGAAGGATCCTGGACACAGGGGTGGTATTGCTTTTTGGTTGATAAAAATAAACACAAATTGGAGGCAAAAAGATGTTCAGAAGCAACTCATCCATATATTTGCGAAACAGGTGGGTGAAAATGGTTGAAAAGCTGAGGTCGTAAAATGTTCGTAACTAAAATCGATGTTATAAAAAATCAGTGGCAAGTCGCAAGGTTAAGGTTAAAATGTCGCTTGAATTATCAATTTGACGTCAGTTTTTCATGCATGCGTTGGTCCTGTTCTTGATCCTGAATTTCATCATAACACAGACTACTTTGACAATGTTATGACGACATTCATTGTCAATAACAGGACAGACGCATGAAAAACTGACGTCAATTTGTTTTTTACGATAACAAACTGCCAAATTGTCCGCTCTTGCTCATTGACGCATCGCATAAATTCTAAATTCGTGTGTCTGTCCGCTTATTGACAATCAAAATTAACCAATGAGCGCCCGAGAATTTCTGCAGTTATCGTAAAAATTATCGTTCTGAAATATGGGAATCTTTTATTGGGAACAAAACTCGAAGTTCTCCTTTTGACTATGTTGTCTCGGAAAACTGATGATTTAATACACAAATAAATGGCACCGGACAATACTTGATCTTGGTCTGGCTTTCGAAATATTTCGAAAGATTAAAGAAAGGAAGATTAAAGCTTCATGTAGATGAACCTTTTTTGCATAATCGCATTCAAATTTAGGTTAGATGTCAAAAAGACCGCCAAATTGGGGGATTTGCTCTTCATGGGTGCGGAGCGGGGCCATCAAGGATCGTGTTTTGCGTTAAGATCATTCCAAGCGAACTATTATTCCGGACGGCAAACCCACGAGGTTTACGATATTGTCGCACCAACAGAATCCTGAAAAAAAAGATTGCTTACAGGAAACATACAAAAACTAAACAGGAGTGACTAAGAACTCCGATTAAGAAGGATTCCGAACCCCAACCATGGCCCCTTCAAATCCTACCCACACACACACCATTGCGCTTACCCTAAGACCTTAAGGTCCTGCGAGTTACACCTTCAGTCTTGCCCTAAACAAACTCTATAATCCTATTATCATTCCACAGGGGAGTTATCGTCAGAATTATCAATACCAACTAAATTTAGTTCTGTGCAACCAGCGACCATTGTTACCAAAACGGGAACTGAACTAACTTCGACCACAACGCCAGAAGTATCGACAAGAAATGTACCTAAACTGACAACACTAATCATGATAACAACGGAAATATTTCCAACCACGTGCACGTCGACAACAACAGCAACAGCAGTTGCGACAACGGTCACTACTGCACGACTAACTAGTAGTTCACAGACAACCTCGTCAACAACAACAGCAACTGCAGTAGCAACAACAGGCATTGTTCCAGGACTAATTGGCAGTTCACAGACGACCGATTTGTTTACCGTGAAAGAAACATTAATCACGGCTGGTGCTGTATCATCCCTCACAGCGGCCTCCACCGTCAAAACCACCACACAGGAGAAACTGTCTGCCGCAGTTCAGGTAGCAATTTATATCGTTAAAAATATCTTGTACCTCAGTATTCAGAAGATTACTGAATTTGTTCCATGCGATGAACAGTGATAATAACATTGCGAACATGCAGAAGTGGAAAAGTAACGTAAGGCGCTACACGTTTCAATCGCGGGAACCGTTGCCCTGGAAAGCAAAAACAATAGGAAGAAGAAAAATGCACTTTTGGAAGTGATCTTGCTTAGCTTGCTTTTATAGGAATGGCGGGAAGATAACTTTACAGCATGCTCAGAGTACTATTAGAGGACTATAAGTACTGACGGACTTGTTTATCCAAACTGTGGACGGCAAGATCACGTGTGTTATCACATTTTGAAAGTGAACTGCGTGCATTGCTTTTCTATTCTTAATTCTTTTCAATTGTGGAAGTTGATATATTTTTCACTGTGAGATCTCATTCTCTTTCTTTCTTTCCGACTCAATTCATAAATATGAGTTGTTTCGTACATCTGTCATTACACTTTATCACAATTACGGGTAAGCCAATGGGGGCTTCTGACAAATCGAAATTTGCCGATAATTCAAGGTTGTGGGTGCGAATTCCGTCGGCCAACCGAATTTTCAATTCAGGCTTGCTTTTCAACTGCTTATCTAAAAAGTTACAGCGTACCTCTATTCACTCTTCCTATCGCAGTTCATGCATGTTCTTGATTTATTTCACATATTAACACCAGGATCTTGACATTTTTTAAATATGTTTCGTTATAGTTGCGTCAATACATATCAGTGATAAGTGCTCTCAATGTCAGCGAAGAAACCTCTTTACAGGTGAGCCAGCGTTAATTCAGGGGTCCTAAAAAACTACGCTTTTCTCTCAAAGGGTTTTAAACCGCTGTGTTAGGCTGTTTTAGAGTGCATGCTTTTTAAAGCTCGGTAGGTTAAGCCGCGCTGTAAAATTTCGGCATAAAATTCAGTAGTTGATTATTTATTGAGTCAAACCTCAGCGAACTATTTGCGACAGTTTATTTTAGTATTTTCGGGCTTGATAATATGTCATGACGAGTCTGAAACGTTGTTCAATTGCTCTAAAAGGTATCTTATGTAATTTTGATTTGGGTTAATTACCTTATTTCACCAAATCTAAATTTACGAAGGGAAGTTGAGGAAAAAGCATAGATGGTTTTGAAAGATGGATCGAATGATGGACAATTTCATCATAAAACTTTACACGGCTAAACAGGGTTACTTTAAAGTGACATTACATTAATCCAAGATTAAATGAATCAAGGATCAATTCACATTTACCGCTTACTAGTTAAACCTAATAAAGGTTACATTTCAAATTATGAATTACCAATTCGAGCTTCAGGATTGGGAGTAAATACAATTCAAGAGTGAAAGATCTTCTCGTGGGGAATGTTTATCATGTCTATATGTAGAGGGTTAACATATGTTATCTATGAAAACTACTCTTTGTCTCTCTCTTGTTTATCCTTTATTGTTCAGAACGCTACAGAAATAACCACCAAATTGCTTAGGACTTTGAAAAAAGGTAACGTCGATGGCGAAGACATCAACGTGCTGTTAGCGACCCAGGAATTGGAGAAGTTCGCCATTAGTTACGGCAAGATTCACAACAAAGCAAACGAGAGTAGAGTCCTTTCTGACAAGCTCTTTGGTAAGTCCTAAAGAAACGACACGGCAAACTCGTTGTCTTCTAGATCTTAGCAGCTTACCATTTGGTCTGACGTATTGTAAGGGCCGATTTACACGGTACGACTTTGACGTATGCGACAAGCTTACAACAGGCCCACGACATGACTTAGGACCATTTACACGCGCACGACATTTTCACTTACGAAATTAAATATGCAAAAGTTTGCACCAAGATTTACGGAGTAAAAGTTCTAACAAACGATAACAAATATTTTAGTTGTCCTGCTCTTTGAAAAACCTTTCTAACGAGATGTTTTGCGCTTTAATCCGTTCAATACTTTTCGAGAAACGACTTCGTGTGAATCAGTCAACAACAACTTCGTCCGCCATTTTGACGCAAGAAAACTTCTCCTTCGTCCCCTACTCAATAGAAATTTGTAACAAAAGACGTCATTTTCTATCGATTTCGGCTACGATTGTCGTAGCGTTTTAAACCATGTTTTAAAGTCCTACGATAATTTTTTTTTTGACGTACACAACAGTCACAACAGTCGCAAGCGAGTTGTAGGTTTGATTTACACGAAACAATTCATGTCGTAGGCCTGTCGTAAGCTTGTCGCACGCGACAAAGTCGTGCCGTGTAAATCGGCCCTAATAAACCAATCAGAATTCTGTGACAACTGTAACTGGTGGCAAAGGGGAGCATACCTTGGATTTAGACGACTTGCTTTTGTTTTATTGGCTGTAAAAATAAAGCGGTTTTTTTACTCCCCTGTCGAAAGTAATACTTAGTCACTTTGGCTTTGCATTAGTTCTTTACGCGACTGGCGTAAAAGAAACTCGAGCACTTTGTCTTCCACGCGCATGACAAAAGCACATCAAATTATAAAGTTATGATGAAATGTCCTTGTACTATGTTTTCTTCTTTTTTTTTATTTCTAGCAATAAAGATTGAGAAAATATCAGCGGACAACAAAGAGGCCATTACATTCTCTGTAAATGAGACAGGACACTCAACGAAGGAGTATATTACTAGCATTTCACTTCCACCGAGGATTTTCAAAGGGCAAGGTAGAGTAAGTTGGCTCTTATAGCTTCGAAGTCAGAAAAGGCTTTTTATCTTATACGACGGAGAAAGCGAGGGGGTCGCGTTCCCGACCTCCTTAACTTTAATAATATTTAAGCAATGATAATGACACGTCTCCCGGTCCATTACACCCCCCACGGGATTATGGACTAAATTGAGTGAAACTTCGAGGGTATATGGCAGGTTCAAAAAGATTTCCGTTAAAGTAACCAACATGAGATAATGACACCATATAACAAAAATTACCATTTCGCAAACATTCGCCATCTTAGTCCATCATTTTCGATTTCTTGATTTTTCCAAAACGGTGAAGAACCAATGGAAATCACTCCTACTGAACTAATCAAAACCAATAAAACAATGCATAAAGGTCCTAAAAAGAAAAAAATAAAATAACTAACAGCAGGAAAGTTAAATGATGTCGTTCAAAATACATATTTCCAAAATGTCCTACCACATCTTTCCTAGGTAAAGTCCAAAAGTGTCCGGTGCAGCTTGTAATTCAGTATTGAGAAAGTTATGACCGATTGAGGTCATCGTAGGCACTCCCGCCTTCTCCCCCTCTCCAACCATCAATGAATATGGTAAAGGGAAACTGATGCACTTTTCCTGATTATACCTTTACTTTATTTTTCTTTCAGAAGCTGTTGTTGTTAGTGTTATTTATAATGACGTCAACGTATGGATACCTGATGCAAAGGACGCTGAGTTACACGGGTGGGTTCTTAATACATATATCAACCCACTGACCGACTATTAGGCAAATGCCCAATATGATTGCATTATACACAGGGCGGTGTAAATATTCATGAACGGCATAATGAAGCATCGGCAACTCGAGACAACCTTTGAAAATGGCATCCCCTTCGCATTTTCTTGAAGTTTCTGAAATCAGCCGATAAAAACCTCGCGTATATCGATCAAGCTAAGGCTATTTGTTTTCTTTTCGGGAATTTTGCTTAGTGTAAATAGAATAGCCATCAATTGGCTATCAAAGAGATATATAAGGAATAGGTGTCGAGCTTTTCATGAAGTACATGGAGAAATCCCTGCCCAGCATGAGATTTTATCCACTTAAGTAAAGTATGCTGTATTCGTATAATTGATAATCAAGAGCCGATGCTCCAACCACTTTTATCCCCTCCCCC